CAAATATATTTATTGTATTATTCCACCATGTCTTACTGATATTGGATGGAGGGTGTAACTTTATTTTTAACCTGAAATTAATTTCCTTTATAAAAGTTGGCTAGAACCACGAAGCAGTCCAGAGTCCAAGTCCTTCCAGACAAATGCTCCCCCTGCTGACTTTCTGTGCAGCTGCAGGGACATCTGAGGACTAGACAAACTGAAGCCTTGAGGGTTGGGGAAATTGTTACACAGAAAATGGAAAGAACAGACTAACTTGAATCTGATTGCGGTGTACAGATTTTTCCCAAGGTGTTACTCTCCTGTTAAGTTTTCAATATATCAAGTACTTTGTTGAAGAGGTCAGGGGATCTGTCCAGATTATTTGACACATAGATCCTCCTTTAAAATGTAAAGCATGTGCAGAATAATAAAAGACATGAAGGGTATAAAATAAATGAGATCAAAGACAATAGGATTTTGGGCTATATTTTAAGCATACCCTTTCCTCTGCTGATGTATGACCACTGTCTTTATCTTACTGCAAATTCACTTCAAAGTAGTAGTAATGTGATAATAAATTAATGACATAATAGCAGAATTTTTATTACAACTATTTCATGGCTTTTCCCACTAAAAGCTGTAGTTTTCAGTCTTTCGGACATGGTTACTTATTCCCATCAGAGAAGACTGTAAGAACCAAAGATTGATTCTGCACATTTTTTAAAAATCTGTCACAGACATGGCATTAAATGGAGTGTAGAAATGATGCATACTTTGGAAGAAAGAAGAGGAAAAAAGGAATGATAAAGCGTTTGTACAAAAGAGAAGCAGTTTTCAGTCCCAGCTCTTTGTCTTATAAAGCTAGTAAAGTGAAGATTATAAAATTTACTTACAAGATAAAGGTTATAGCACATAGCTCACTTTTATTATCATTTCAGAGGTCGTAAAATACATTTTATTATTAACTCAGAAACTCTAGTTCTTTATTATTGCAGATAACAAGAGCATTGTATATTATTTGATGTACGTATTTTGCAGTGCTTTTATATGTCTGTTTTCCTCTTGTTGCTAATTTCCTTTCATTAACTTCACGCCTCCTCTTACATTTCCTCAAAAGGTATGACACGCTTCTTATAATGCACTTTTATAAACACTAAATGTGCAGCATTTTACAGTCATTTCATTATGCTAACCTTGAAATCTGTCTTGTGCAACAAAACCATTTGAAATGAATGTTAAACATTTTGTAGCTGCATTAATGGAGGGAAAGATACTGGAAAATGACAAGTCTTTTTAACTCAACTATAAAGTCTTGTCTTATTTTAATAGGTCCTTTATAAAATGTGATGGGATTGTTCCATCAGTCACTTTTTATATAGCCTCCATGTGAAATGTGGGTTTAAGTGGCTATAGTTTCCCTAATGAGAAAAGGTAAATGTAAAAATGCCTATGGAGCTTCTTCCTTGTGGGCTCCTCGGCACTTTTTCTCAGTGAATGGATTGAGGCACTTATGCTCAACAAGGGAAGAAAGTGGTGAAAATTCCATCTTTTGTCTAAGCTGCTACTGTTTTGAAGGGAGAATGTTGAATGCAAGCTGTGGATTCCACACTGATTCCACTGAAGCTCCTTTTCCGTATCTGCTGAGGTATGCAGAAACTGTTATATCATTTTTATGTGGGTAATCACCCAAATTCTCCACGCTCATAGGTATATCATGACATTAACCACAAAATTGCCAAAGTCAATAACTATGTAGACAAGAGGCCATGAAAATCACCATTTTGCATTTAGGCTTATTTTCAGTCATGTCAACAACCAACAGCTGAGTCATTCAGATCAACCACATGATGATCTGAGTCAGTACTAAAGTGGCCAAAATAACCAGATTATGATGTGCAGGCTTGATTTTAGATCAGACTTACACAGCCACAGTCCATTAGCCTCAATAGAATGGCACGGTGTAATTTCCATAAATTACTGTATTTTTCTCCACATTGTCAAGTAGACAATGCATAAACTACCATTAGTATTCACAGCAGCAAAATATACCTCTTTCCATATCAAACTGTGATTCTGGAATTACTCCAAAGTCAGTTTTCTCCTTGGTCTGGCAAAACCTCATCATTCCAAATAAAAATGACAGTCACAGTTCTGTCCCAAATGAACAACAGATAATAAACAATAATTATACAAATATGTTTAGTTTTCCTGCTACTATATTTCTCAGTGTTTGTGGCTTACACTTCTATAGCTTACACATCAGGATTTTCTCATACAAAATACGGGTATTTTATTCTATAAAAATGTGGGTATTTCGTTCCTAGTATATAAGTTTAGATGCTTTATTTCCTTTCTCTCCTCTCTGTGCCTCAGTTTCCTTATCTGTAAAATACCTCTGTTTTCTTATCTTTAAGATAGTCCCTAACCATAGGGATGGAGGATTCAAATAGTTGGCACAGGTAAAGCAATTAGAATAGAGTCTGGCACATAGGAAGTGCTCAATACGTATTAGCTATAATTGTTATCATTTTTGTTACTCTGTTACTATGGATGTTTCTTTGGAGTGTTAATCTTTTATAAAGCAAAATTATTTATAGTCAAATCAGTTCAGAATAAATTAAATGTATATGGCAACAATGAAGAAAGATTCTGAAAGGTCTAAATGCATAATCAAAACACTCTATACTTTTAGCATTCAGAAGTGTGACACATTCTTTTCTGACTGACTCATCCAGATGTTTTTACTTCTGATTAAAAGAGAAATGTTCCCAGATGAAATCCTGAGATAGGGTAACTGTTAGAAAAATCTGTTGCAAAGCAGATTTTCAGATTCATAAAGCTAAAAGTGATCATGTTCAGGAAATAAGTAAGGATTGTCTTAGGAATCCAAGGACCAATGCAAACTGCAGATTTAAAATAAAAATCAAATCAGTTTTCTATAGTTAACCAATAAAAATATTTATCAAAATACCTGCCAATATTATTCAATCAGAATGTAGCATCTAAAACAACTGAGTTTTCCAGAGGCCAGAAAAAGGTTATCTTGGGACGCAGGAATTTAAATTTGCTTCAAAGTGGTGAAATCCTGGTACAGACAGAGAAGAGCTTGATTTGCCGGCTCTCAGCCCAGAACTACCCTCTTCCCACAGAGCCTGGAGCTATGCCAGGCTCCTACGCCTATTCTTGACTTTATGACAGAGTGGGTTCTCTTCCTGTGAGCTTTTCTGGGCATGGAAGAACATAGCGTAACTAGGATGGAGCTCTGCCACACAGCAGAATTATCCTAAGGATGATGTGGCAATGTTTTATAAAACCTAGGAAGCAGATTTTCATTTCTGCAGACAGAGCCAGCCTTCAGCAACACTGTGAGGGAGATGAAGTTTCCTTAGTACAAGCCATTACCCATCACTGAGTATTCAATGCCCTCATGCTGTCCAATAACTTCCTACGGTTCCTGTCCCTGAGGAACACTCATGATGTGGGACGAAACTTACCACCCTGGCTGTACCTTGAGAGTTTTATAAAGTGCTGCTGCTTAGACCTAACCCCCCAGGGTTATGATTTAATTGGCCTTGGATGAAGCCTAGACAAAGATTTTTTGTCTTTTTGTTTTGACGTGTTTTGACTGAAGCTCCCTAGATGATATTGATATGTAGGCAGAATTGAGAATCGCTGATGTAGAAGAACAATGTTTCTCAGTTTGGTCTGCAGACCACTTGCAGCAGAATCACCTGTGATGCTTAAGAAGTACAGATTCTTGAGCATTCAGCTATTCTGAATCTGCATTTTAACAAACACCTCGGGTAACGCTAATGCACAGTAACATTTAAGAACAAAAATTTCCCCTTATTGAAACTTACCCATCTTCTTTCCCATTCCCTATTAATTAAATAAACAGTGGGTGCTATTGAAGTAATGTGTTATGTTTTGATCAAGCCTCCCGAACACAATACAGAGAGTGATTCCAACAGAATTTCTCCATCAGATCAGGAGGATGGTTTTGTTTTCATTTTTTGTCTGTGTGGGTAGAGGGGGGTATGGAGGAAGCAAGCCTTTTAATGCCTCTAATCCAACTACACAGGTAGTTTTCCATTTCACCTGGAGTCTGCCCTGTGTGGCTAAGGCTTAGTTGTAAAAGGAGAAAGTTTCTAATCTCCTGGACCCCAAGAGCTATTTATATGGAGATGATAAGTATTATCGCCTAGCTCTCTGCTTCATGGGTGACCAACTCCACAAAATGGCAATGTCCTTGTTAAATTCATTAAACTCAATGTGAATAGTGCTCATTTTCCAGCAACAACCCATTTATCTTCTTGTGAGAAGAGGTTTTTGACTACATTTCTCTCATGACATTACCTTATAGCAGTGGTTCTCAATCTTGGTTGCACATTGTAATCACCTAGTGAGTCAAAAAATTTAAATGTCTGCTTCCTACGTCCCAAGTTCTGATTTAATTGGTGGGCCTGGGCATGATTTTTTTTAAAAGATCCTAGGTGATTTTAATGTGCAGCCAAGTCTGAGAACCACTTGCTTCTACAGGTATGCCCAGCAAAGTTAATAGGAAGAGAACTCAATAAGTTAAATTATTACCTTTGGAAGCAGGAGATAGAAAAAAATATTTTTCCTGCAATTAAAAGGAAAAATCCTGCTGGGAGTGCACTTGTAGTCCCAGCTGTTCAGGAGGCTGAAGCTGGAAAATAGCTAGAGCCCAGGAGTTCAAGTCCGGTCTGGGCAGCATAGTGAGACCCCACCTCATTTTTTAAAAAGAAAATTCTGCTTTGAAATGTGTATAGGCCTAAAGAGTATTATGCATGCACCATCATAATATGCCATCATGACATAGCATAGTGCTGTTAACACGTGATCTTTGTTTAATGTTTTAATTCCCTCCCATCATCTATTTCCTTCCTTCATCAGCTATACTAAAACCACTCCTCTTTCCAGAAACAAAGACAAGGATTTCTTAAACTTAGATCTGGCCCTTCTGGATCTGGATTTGTTTTTGTTTTGTTTTATAGATCACTCTCCGGGCGCATTGTTGGAGGGGTTTGGTGGTTCTTCACCCTGATCATAATTTCTTCCTATACTGCCAATCTCGCTGCTTTCCTGACTGTGGAGAGGATGGTTTCTCCCATAGAGAGTGCTGAAGACTTAGCTAAACAGACTGAAATTGCATATGGGACCCTGGACTCTGGTTCAACGAAAGAATTTTTCAGAGTAAGTGCTTTGCAGTGAATTGAGTCTGCTGATTTTTATTTTATCATCTTCTCACAAAGGCAAATTCATAGTGCTTTTAAGTGAGAGTTGGGAAAGAGTGGGAATATTATCTAAGGAAAGCATCTTAAATACTGGGCTGCTTGGTTGGTGATCTACTTCATTGTGGTTTAGAACCAAGACTTGAGTGAGACATAACAAGTTGCATGTCAAGGGCACTGAGTTTGGACTCCCAGGTTTTAAACCCAACCCTGCCACAAAGTGATTGATCGTCCTTGTGCAAGCCATTTAACTTCTACCAGCTTCAGTCCTCTCACTTGAATAATGAGGGGATTGAACTAAATAGTATTTATTCTCCTTTCTAGCTTTTACAAAAGCAGTGCTTTTACGTCTCAGAGCTTCTACGTCTCAGAGCTTCACATAAGTTAGGCAATTGACTCTAATACTCTGATGAGTAATGGACTATAAGAGATTATATATTCTATTTTAAACGTTGGTTGTGTATTGAGATGTACTAAAATTGTATCAAGTATTTATGTACATGGTGATACTTTCATTTTCAGGACAGCTGATACCTGTTTTAATTTCTTGGATAGACGTATTCCCCCAATGTCTCATAGGCAAAATCTTATTGGGGAAACAGTAAATTGTTCACTAGCAAAAGTTAGTAAAGCTATGTAAAGTCTGTCAAGAGGAAAGATGAAAGTAAACTGAAGCAGGAAATTATAGAAGGATAATATGGGGGACAAATCACTTTTACATGAACCGTCAAGATCTTTGTTCTGTGGTGACTGGACTATAAGGAAGAATACTAGCAGAGTTTTTAAGAACTAAAATGTTTTTTCAGTTACCTTAACAAGAAAAATATGTTGATTTAGATTAGAAAATGGACACGTTCTATAATATTACTACTGGCTGCTACTGTAACCACAGTAACTAGCTGTAGCAATGATCCAGAAGCCACTTGGGTAGTAGGTAGAGTAGTTAGTCACTCTCTCCAACCAATAATTAAGTTATTGAATGACATATATAATTGCTGATTTTTCCTCAAAGGTCTAGAGTAAACAAATGGTGGTTTTTTAAATAATCAATAAGGAATACATTTTTACATGTATTATCATGAGATTTGTCCAATTACTTCACAGGAAATCAGGAAGAGTGTGTTTCTTGACATTATAGCAATTAACTAAAAACTGTTTTCACTCCCTGAAAGGGAACATATTAGTACTGGGACCCTTTCAAGAATTCTCATTGGTTCAAGATCTTCATATCTCATCTCTACCACCTATTTACTGAGCAGATTATAATCCCCAACTGGGAAGAGAGGGCCACTGTTGGAAGCATCAAAATGACATGAAGATTCTCTGGATTAATCTGGCCTTGACCCTCACTACTACAGCAGTCCCAGAAGCTTATTTAAAAACAATTTCCTCCCCCTATAAAATCAGTCATATTTATCAGGGCTAGAAGCCAGGGATTTCCATCTGATGAGTAGTCAGCATATAATCAGTCCCATGGAAATCCGCTTTGGTATCAACCTTCAGCAGAGCTTATGATCACCATCCCAATAGGCATGAAGTTTCTATATGAAGTAATTAACCACTTAGGATATGAAGACACCCAGAAGTTTCTATAGGAAGTAATTAACCACTTAGGACATCAAGACACCAGACTTGGATCCTCAGATAAGAAATACTTGTTCGACTGGAAAGCATTTTTCTTTCAAAAACAATTAGAGATTAGAAAGTTGTGCTTTAAATGGTAATCAATAAATGGCATCAATCCTTATTAGGATTTCAAAGGCCATTCATCCATATTGCAGGCAAAAGAAGATTCTCTAGAAAGATGGAGAGATTTATTCACACAAGAGGGTGTAAGTGTCCAGGAATTAATCTATTTCTTCCAGGTTTACTGGTTTATGTGCATAGAGTTGTTTGTAGTAATCTCTGATGGTGGTTTGTATTTCTGTGCAATCTGTGGTGATAGCCCCTTTATCGTTTTTTATTGCATCTATTTGGTTATTCTCTCTTTTCTTTTTTATTAATATGGCTAGTGGTCTATTTTGTTGATCTTTTCAAAAAAACTAGCTCCTGGACTTAGTGATTTTTTGAAGAGTTGTTTGTTCTATCTCCTTCAGTTCTACTCTGATCTTAGTTTTTTCTTATCTACTGCTAGCTTTAGAGTTTTTTTAATCTTGCTCCTCCAGCTCTTTCAATTTTGATGATAGGGTATTGATTTTAGATCTTTCCTTGCTTCTCATGTGGGCATTTATTGCTATAAATTTTCCTCTAGACACTGCTTTAAATGTGTCCCAGAGATTCTGGTATGTTATGTCTTCATTCTCATTGGTTTCAAAGAACATCTTTATTTCTGCCTTCATTTCATCGTTTATTCAGTCAACATTCAAGAGCCAGTTGTTCAGTTTCCATGAAGCTGTGCGGATCTGAGTTAGTTTCTGAATTCTGAGTTCTAACTTGATTGCACTGTGGTCTGAGAGACTGTTTGTTATGATTTCCGTTCTTTGGCATTTGCTGAGGAGTGATTTACTTCTGATTATGTGGTCAATTTTAGAGTAGGTGTGATGTGGTGCTGAGAAGAATGTATATTCTGTGGATTTGGGGTAGAGAGTTCTGTAAACATCTATTAGGTTTGCTTGGTCCAGGTCTGAGTTCAAGTCCTGGATATCCTTGTTAATCTTCTGTCTCGTTATTCTGTCTCATATTGACAGCAGAGTGTTAAAGTCTCCCACTATTATTGCATGGGAGTCTAAGTCCCTCTGTAGGTCATTAAGAATTTGCTTTATGTATCTGGGTGCTTCTGTATTGGGCATGTATATATTTAGGATCATTAGCTCTTCTTGTTGCATTCATCATTTTACCATTATGTAATGCCCTTCTTTTTCTCTTTTGATCTTTGTTGATTTAAAGTCTATTTTATCAGAGACTAGAATTGCAACTCCTGCTTTATTTTGCTCTCCATTTGCTTGGTAGATCTTCCTCCATCCCTTTATTTTGAGCTTATGTGTATCCTTGCATGTGAGATGGGTTTCCTGGATACCACACACCTATGGGCTTTGACTTTTTATCCAATTTGCCAGTCTGTGTCTTTTGATTGGGGCATTTAGCCCATTTACATTTAAGGTTAATATTGCTCTGTGCGAATTTGATCCTGCCATTTTGATGCTAGCTGGTTGTTTTGCCCATTAGTTGATGCCGTTTCTTCATTGTGTCAATGCTCTTTACCATTTGGTACATTTTTGGAGTGGCTGATACTGGTTGTTCCTTTCCATGTTCAGTGCTTCTTTGAGGAGCTCCTGTAAAGCAAGCCTGGTGGTGATGAAATCTCTGAGCAATTGCTTGTTACTAAAGCATTTGATTTCTCCTTCGCTTATGAAGCTTAGTTTGGCTGGATATGAAATTCTAGGTTGAAAGTTCTTTTCAACCCAGGATGTTGAATACTGGCCCCTGGTCTTCTGGCTTGTAGGGTTTCTGCTGAGAGATCGTCTGTGAGTCTGATGGGCGTCCCTTTGTGGGTGACCTGACCTTTCTCTATGGCTGCCCTTAGCATGTTTTCCTTCATTTCAACCCTGGTGAATCTGACGATTATGTGCCTTGGGGTTGCTCTTCTTGAGAAATATCTTTGTGGTGTTCTCTGTATTTCCTGGACTTGAATGTTGGCCTCCTTGCTAGGTTGTGGAGGTTCTCCTGGATAATATCCTGAAGAGTGTTTTCCAGCTTGGATTCATTCTCTCCATCACATTCAGGTACACTGATCAAATGTAGATTAGGTCTTTTCACATAATCCCATATTTCTTGGAGGCTTTGTTCATTTTTTTACCTCTTTTTTCTCTAATCATGCTTTCTCATTTTATTTCATTGAGTTGATCTTCAATCTCTGATATCCTTTCTTCTGCTTGGTCAATTCAGCTGTTAAAACTTGTGTATGCTTCGTGAAGTTCTCGTGTTGTGTTTTTCAGCTCCATCAATTCATTTATATTCCTCTCTAAGCTGTTTGTTCTTGTTAGCATTTCATCAAACCTTTTTTCAATATTCTTAGTTTCTTTGCATTGGGTTAGGACATGATCTTTTAGCTCAGAGAAGTTTGTTATTACCCACCTTCTGAAGCCTGTTTCTGTCAATTCATCAGACTCATTCTCCATCCAGTCTGTTCCCTTGCTGATGAGGAGTTGTGATCCCTTGGAGGAGGCGTTCTGGTTTTGGGTGCTTTCATCCTTTTTGCACTGGTTTCTTCCCATCTTTATGGATTTATCTACCTGTGATCTTTGTGGTTGGTGACTTTCCAATGGGGTCTCTGAGTGGACATCCTTTTTGTTGTTGATGAAGTTCTTTCTTTCTGTTTCTTAGTTTTCCTTCTAACAGGCCCCTCTGCTGTAGGACTGCTGGAGGTCCACTCCAGAACCTGCTTACCTTGGGATCACCTGCAGCAGCTGCAGAATAGTAAGGGTTGCTGCCACTTTCTTCTTCTATTATCTTTGTCCCAGAAGGATCCCCACCAGATTTCAGCCTGAGCTCTCCTTTATGAGGTGTCTCTTTGGTTATACAGGGGTCAGGGAGCTGCTTAAGGAGACAGTCTGTCCCTTATAGAAGCTCAAGTGCTGAGCTGTGAGCTCCATTGTTCTGTTCAGAGATGCTGGGCAGGTACATTGAAGTCTGCTGCAGCAGAACTCATAACCACCTTTTTTTCCCAGGTGCTCTGTCCCGGGAAGGTGGGGCTTTATTTAGAGGTTCCTGTCATTCTGCTGCCTTTTTTCAGAGATGCCCTGCCCAGCGAGGAGGTAGCCTAGTCGCAGTCTGCCAGCAGAGGCGTTGCTGAGCTGCCATGGGCTCTGCTCAGCTGCTGTGTGAACTTCCTTGCAGTTTTGTTTATGGAGGTATAGTTAGAACTGCCTCAGTAATGGTGGACTGCCTCGGTAATGGCGGACTGCCTCGGTAATGGTGGACTGCCTCTGTAGTGGTGGACTGCCTCAGTAATGGTGGACGCCC